CCTCCGCATACATCGAGGGTATGCTCAACGGTCTTCCTATGCGCGGTCTGAAGTGAGCCGCGATGCACCAGCCGGAGTTTGACACGCCATCGTACGAACGCGCCGCGTAGCCTTGAACGCCCTGCGCACTGAGGTACGCCCCCGCGTAGCTCCGCAGGTACGCCCCGCGTAGACCGAGGCTTCGGTCTATAAAAGGGGTGCAAAGGCAGCTGGTTTTCTCACACCTTCCACTCTTTATTTCTCTCTCTACTCTCTCACTAAACCTCCCAAACACCCCCAAGCCTAGGAAACCTCCCTAGCACTAGAAGAAAGTCCCGGAGCGCCCGAGGACTCCGAGAAAAAGAGTTTTTCGGTTCGGAAAGCCTTGCCCCCGTAGAGCCCGGTTTTCAAGTAAACCTCCCAGTTTTGTCGAAGCGAAGCGCTGTCCAAATTGGAATCACCACCATATCAGGTGAGTGCATAATTACTTTAATCTTACACATAGATATGAAGTATTTTAAATAAATTACGTGCTATGTGTGCAAATTATCTGTTTAGATGAGATCTATGATGGATGAAAGATCTAAACTTTTTTTTTTTCAGATCTAAACTGTATATGTATTTTATATTTTGAGATCTGTGCTGAATGAAAGATTTAAACTTTTTTTTTTCAGATCTAAATTGTATATGTATTTTATATCTTGAGATCTGTGTTGGATGAAAGATTTAAACTTTTTTTTAGATCTAAATTGTATATGTATTTTATATCTTGAGATCTGTGCTGGAAGAAAGATTTAAACTTTTTCAGATCTAAACTGTAAATGTAAGTTATATCATGAGATCTACGCTAGATGAAAGATTTAAACTTTGTTTTTTTAGATGTAAGCGTTATATGTATTTTATATCTACAAATATGTTGGGTAGAACATGGGTAGATAATGACGAGGGATGAAAGATGAATATCGGCAGCTGCGCCTAATAGAAAATATCATAATTCTGGCAGCTGCGCCAAAATGATAATATCGGCAGTTGCGCCTAATAGAGAACATCATAATTCTGGCAGTTGCGCCTAATTGATAATATCGACAGCTGCGCCTAATAGAGAACGTCAAAATCCTGAAAACTGCACCTAAATGATAATATTGACAGTTGTGCCTAATAGATAACATTGGCAGCTGCGCCATAGGCAACGATGGACTTCGTGCGTATTCCTTAGGAGAATCCCTAGGAATGAAAAAGTGAATGATAGATGATTCTTAGGGTGGATCCTTATGAAATAAAGAAGATGACGGGGATCGGTAATTGGGTTAATCGGGTGATGCTGAAACATAATAACTTTATTATTGTGGGTTGAAAACCCTATATACTCACCAGGTTTCCCAACCTGACCCACTCAGTTTATTTGTATCACAGATGTCGATACGAAGCTACATTACACTGAGCGATTAAAGGAGATGAAAACCATTAGTGTAAATACATGTAAGGTTTGTTTATGCTTATGTTTCTGTATTGACGATGACATCCCAAAGTTTTAATATAAACAAAATGCATTTCTTCGGAAATGAGTTGATAATATCATTATCATGTTTTTTTCTGGGAACAAATTCCGCAACACTTTTCTTTAAAAGTATACTCTGATTTTAAAAATGAAGCATAAACAAATCGGTCTTTTCTGGTTGTGAAAATGGGGATGTCACATTAATCCCATGAGGAATTTGAGAAGCTTCTGATTTTGTTGAAACTCTTGCATTTCATGAGCAGCAGTACAGGTACAATTTGGAAGACTTGACAAAGCACCTAGTTCACCCCAGCATCTCTTCAATTTGGTAAAGTAAGTCGCAAAATCACTTGATCCTTGAGTTAAATCAGAAATTTCTTTCTGTAATTGATAAAGTTTGGCACCATTGGATTGACCAAAACGTTATTGTAAATCTTTCCAGATTTCCTCAGCGGAACATGAGTAGAGAACAGATTCGGATATGTCGCTTGAAAGAACATTGAGTATCCAAGACATAACCATATCATCACATCTTTTCCATAAATCGAATGTAGCATGATTAGAATCTGGTTTGACGACTTTGCCATTGACAAAACCAAGCTTTTTCTTGGCCGATAAGGCGATAGTGATAGCTTTCTTCCAAGATCCAAAATTCGAACCATCAAATGGTTTCGTAACAAGTATCATTCCAGGATGATCTGAAGGATGCAGATAAAGCAGATCATATGAGTTAATCTGAGATGAATTTGCGATTTGAGAAGAACCTGATTGAGAAACTTGAGCCATATTCATAATTGAAGAATGAGGAACACAAGATTGATTGGTGAACAATCACACAATAAAAAAAATGATGAAAAGAAGTAAAATCAATTGATGAAAAAGATTAATTGATGAAGATTGAAATGAAAATCGAAATTGATTGATGAACAAAATCAATCAATAGAGAAAAAAATTCGAGATTGCGGAAAGCTCTGGTCAATAAGAATATATATACAAAGTGAAGGAGAAAGAACTGCTATCTAACAAACTTCTAACAAAATCACGAGCTACTCACGTGTTAACTAACAGACTTCTAACTATTTACTAACAGACTAACAACTAATATACTAACATGAAGTTTCTTGATATGGACCGACGAAGGGTAGGTTGGTAACTTGTTGTTTTTTAGCCATGTCTTCCGCAAATGTTATCACATGCAGATTGATATTTTTTCTTGTCTCTAATTAAATTGAAGAAGTGAATTGCCATTTGTATTGTGAAGTGTATTCCTTATAGTATCCATCTATCATCGAACAAAACGTGACAGTGAAGGGTAATGTTATCATTTATTGATTTCAAGGGTTGAGATATATCTTTGTGGTTGCTAATGTAGTTGTTTTGTTGTAGGTGATGCATGCGAAGATTAAAGAGAAAATAAAATTAATCCATTTTGAAGATGATCTTAAATTAAGGAAAATGGGCTCCATAATTTCAGGTTGGTAACTTTTGTTTTGGTTTAATTGATTTATATTTTTCATGCTTTTTGGAGTAAATTATGTTTGGGGGTTTCATGTTTTGTTAATGTTTCCATGTTTATGCATTTCTTTTTGAAATTACTGAATTGAAACATTACAACCATGGAGTCCCAATCCTCCAAAATTAGTTAGCTTTTTCATGAAAGTCTTTTATTTTATATGCCATGCACATTGATGGTTAATAATTTCATATCCTTAATTCAATTGCAAAATATTAAGGAAATATTTTAAAAATAAATAAACATTTTGATGTAAATATTTTCCTAATCACTTATATTTTTATTACTATAAAATAGTCTCTCAATTTGACGAAGGACATTGATGCACCACCGGGTCCGTCTTCCATTGATTACTCTAGAGGTGTTCGCTCGAATCTTTCAATTGGCATGGAAGATACAAACAACTCGTAAGCTAATGACCGGTAGGGGATCCTGAGCCAATGCTCCGATGATAAAGTTAGTGAAGACTTCGAAAGATAAGTGAACGATAGGAATTCGGTCATTTTCTGAGTGAAGTGAATATTGCGTACCTTGGAAGTGAATCAAATCATCTATTTATCGTAGAGATAAAAAGGTGTCGACCTCTTTATGTTCCAAACAAGTATGCCATCTTGTCGCATTTATGACTGTATGCCTGAAGATACGTTTTACCGTACTTGCCATCCGTTACCTAGTTGTTCTTCAATGGTTCGAGAACCCATCAATCATATATTCCTATACATGCTGTATATTTAGAGTTCATATGTACTATACTACTGTTGTGACGTCGCATCGTACTTCTTCCATCACTTTCCATGCTGCGATATGTTAATTTCGGTATATATGTTAGTTCGGTACATATATAATAGTTCTATATATATACTAGTTCGGTATAAGAAGGGTTCACATAGCTATTAGGCTATGTTATACCCTATTAAGTCCCCCTAGTTTGGATTGTCATTTGCTCGTGGAAGTGATAATTCAAATTTTGATAGGATCGATGTCGTGACCGTTGTATTTGGATAGGAACAAAACTCCTGAATTAAATTTTGACATGATCGTCTGGCGATTTTTAGCCCTCATGATTACCCCTATAACCATCTATTCAGTTGCCTTTTCTGTAAGAGGGGTACAACGCCTATCCACCGCTTTGTCTGCCCCTTAAATGCTCCTTGCTAATGCTTCGTCTATAAATATTCACTTCTTATTCATTTATTTCTTCACCCATTTCTTTGTGCAAAACACTTTTCCCTTGTTTGTGATTTTTTTTTGAATCCTTTCGTCATGGATGGTACTGGTATCTCGCATATTAAGACCGTAAAATCCAAGCTTTCTGTTAAAAGCATGACGAGTATTGTGAGGAAATATGAAATTGACCCCAAGTTTCATCCTCGTCTTCCCGAGGTTAGTGATGTAATTACTGATGCACCCAAAGACTTCGTTAGAGTGTATCGAGTGTCTTTCAAGTCCGTTTAAAGTACGCATTATTCAATTCCCTTTCACGCTGCCGACAAACGAATATTGCATGTACTTGCTGTTGGAACCACCTTTGTTGGATAAAGTTGTTGCAAAACTTATGACATAGTTCTTCAAAACTTCCTATGCTTCGGGGTGGCAGGCTTGCTAACCTGTATCGAGCAGATCCATCTAATGTTCCTGTGAAGTACATACTCTACAATTTTGGATCCATTAGGATCATCTTTATGGTCTACTGGATGTTCGAGACGTGATCGTCTAGGTCTCCCGTTCCATCGTAGGGCGATACTCTTGGCCTTTTCAATCCTTTTGGGATGGGCGTCTCGTTAATGTCATCCGTAAAAGGTGAACGAAAGTTTAGATTCTTGAAATCTTGATGGTACTGTTTTGCTTCTACCGCCCCGAGGGTTTTTCTCGGTCCTTGTGAGTGTTTTTATTGGTCCTTGCATTTCCAGAACTTATCTCTTTTCTTTTTGAATTTTTCTCATATTCCTTCGCTTCTCCTTTTTCTTCGTCTGAGTCTTTAGATTGGTCAGTGTGAATAGAAACTCGATCCTACTCCTTTTCTTTGTGGAGTTGTTTTTCTTTCTGCAATCTTCTCATAGTCCTGAAGCTTTCAAAAGCTTCGAACTCTTCTAACTCAATTTTTTTCGTTGTTTTTCTTTGCTGACTCGTTCCTCCTTCTTCAACTAAACCCCCTGTCGTTGCGTTCTTGTGTCTTACCACGGTGGTAATTTGTAGCGTTTCTCTTGGACCTTCCATGTTCTGCATTCTCGTGATAGGACTCGTATTAGCTACTGGTGTGTTTACGTTGGCTATTTGTACCGGGGTCCGACAGATGGCGCCACTTGATGCACCACCGGGTCCGTCTTCCATTGATTACTCTAGAGGTGTTCGCTCGAATCTTTCAATTGAGCTGGAAGATACAAACAACTCGTAAGTTGATGACCAGGAGAGGATCCCGGGCCAACGCTCCGATGATAAAGTCGGTGAAGACTCCAAAAGATAAGTGAACGATAAGACTTCGGTCGTTCTCTGAGTGAAGTGAAGATTGCGTGCCTTGGAAGTGAATCCAATCATCTATTTACAGTAGAGATAAAAGGTGTTGACCTCTTTATGTTCCGAACAAGCATGCCATATTACGTTTTACCATACTTGCCATCCGTTAACCAACTGTTCTTCATTGGTTCGAGAACCCAACAATCATATATTCCTATACATGATGTATATTTAGAGTTCCTATGTTCTATACTATTGTTGTGACGTCACATCGTACTTCTTCCGTCACTTTCCATGCCCCAATATGTTAATTTCGGTATATACGTTAATTCGGTACATATATACTAGTTCGGTATATATATAGTAGTTCGGTACATATACTTGTTCGGTATATATATACTAGTCCGGTATAAGAAGGGTGCACATAGCTATTAGGCTATGTTATACCCTATTAGACATCTTAAATACACCATACATATTAAAAATTCACAAATCTCCGAGCAATGACCAAATCCGAACAATTGTAAACATTCACAAAAGTTGAAAAACAATTCTTTATTTCAATGTCGAGTTGTAGTCTTCTTTCATGTTGGACATTCACAATTTCACATCTAAATACCTAATGGGCAATAAACTTTTTTGCTTCATTGTTGTTCATCAAATTTGGTTGATCATTTACACTAAAATACTACATTATGATTGTCTAATATTTTTATAAACACCCGACGAAATAACTAATAAAAAGTTAACAATGATTTGTTAAAATGACAAGCCAAACATAAAATTAAAAAAGAATGGAATCAAATTCTATTTTATATTGCCAACCAAATGTACGTTTTCACTATAACTATTATTAATATTAACATTAGATTAAAAAAGTTTTATGTAGACGTAGCGGGTAAACGAACAACAAACTGTGCCGCAACCTATTTTTGGATGACAAAACTAATTCTTTTAAAAACAACATTCGTAAATCTTGGGGTCATAACATTATTATGCATGAACCGTTGGACTCTATTGAAGAGCTCCACAACATCTGACACAAGGAAAGCAAAAGTATCAAATGCAATTCTTTTAGGAGATTGTAAATCATTTCACAACTTGTGATTGTTCTTAACCTGTGTAGATCAAAGCCATGGTTTTGGATGGTATAACTTTGACCTACTTCTTATGAATGTTGTTTATTTATTGAATAAAACTAGAAATAAATACATTGTTAGGCTGCTTAACTTTTTCTTTTTTAAAATAACAAATGCAATTTTAACCATCGGATATTCGGATTAGACATTTGGTTGCTAAATATTAACGATAATAGTATATCTGATAGCTAGCATATAGTTTATCTTGTTATATTTAAACTTATTCAAATTGTATCATCTTGTATTGTAATTGTATTATAAATACTTAATAAAATCCTCTCCACAACGTGTAGAGGGTCTTGTAAAGCTTACATGGTATCAGCCTAAATTAATCCCACTAAAACCCTTCCATCGCCGTTTTTCTCCTTTGCCTCTTCAATGGCTGCCGGTGATAATGACTCCTCCCCTCTCTCCCTTCACACATTACTTCATCTTCTCACCATCAAATTACCCTCTTCTAATTACTTGAACCAAATCCTTTCGTTTCTGTCGTTTCAGAAGTTATCTGGTCACATTGATGGGACCATTAAATCTCCATCATGCACAATCCGCTTCTACTAGCGATCCTCCCGCTGCACCGACTCCAAACCCTGAGTATGCTAAATGGCAAGAAAATGATCACAAAGTCCTCATTCTTGGTGAGACGATTCTGAAGTAAAAAGAAGGAATTTAAAAATAAGATGTCAACCGGAAGATCATTGGTAAGTTTAATAATGGAAATAAAATTTTTGGTTAGATGTGGAACTACAAGAACATCTAATAAGGGAATATTGTTTTGAAGATTTGAATGACCAATGTGAGTAATAGGAAGAGTATTACCATTACCAAAACCGACATAATCTGAACCGTTGTAGGGATTGGCACCATGAACATTAAATGGAGATGGCGTCATGTGGGTTGTGGCTCCCGAATCAACATACTAATAAGGAGAGGTGTCATTATAAGAGCGATGAAATACGGATGCTAAATTTACATCAACTGTGGGGATCAGGTAGCAAAGGTTTGAAGATCCGAACATTGGTTTGCATAATGTATGTCTTTCCGGAAAAGTTATCAATGAGAAGATCGATGACCTCGACCTCGACCACCATCAGAACCACCGTGAGAATTCCGGCCACCGTTAGAACCCTCACGGTTTCCTTGTCCATTCGAGTATCCACCACGATTCATGTCCTTCAGATTGTGAAAGCAAATGTCGAAAGGACAGACGAGGTTTGACATCCCGTTGTTTGATGGAAAAATGTTTGAAAGAGTTGCCAAGTCCACATAGAAACCAATGAATTTTATCATAGTCATTAACAAGATAGCCAATTGTAGATAATTGATCATAGATAATTTTAAATTTTCCGCCATACTCGGCTACTGTGGAATTACCTTTCTGCAATTGGCACAAGGAGTCCTGCAAGGTGTGCATGCGTTCAACAGAATCATGACTATATGCGCGTTCAAGAGAGGTCCATACATCCCAGGTTGTTTGGAGACTGAGAACCTCAGCCATAGCTTCCTCGATAAGGGAGGATTGAAGAAGAAGAAGAACATTCTTGCTCGAGGAAGAGTTGATCAGGGTCTTTACATTCTTGAACAAGGTCAAAAGGCATTTTTATCCAAGTTGACAAAATCTCGGCTACATGCGTCTTTTGAAGTTTGGTATAAACTTTTGGGTCATGTTGCTTTTGATGTTATTTCTTCATTGTCTAGATTAGGTCATTTGTTAGTTACTTCTTTATTACCAAAACCTAGTATTTGTTCTTCTTGTCAACTTTGCAAAAGCAAACATTTACCATTTGATCTCGTTCATTATGATTTATGAGGACCTGCTCCTGTTGTCTCCACAAAAGGCTATATTATATCATTTTTGTTGACGACCTCATACTTACAGGGCATAATTTATAAGCTGATGCATCTCACGACTGAATAATGAATTTGCTATTAAAGTTCTCGGTCCATTAAGTTATTTTTTGGGCCTTGAAGTTTTCTATACAAGTGATGGATTGTTTTTAAGTTAGGAAAAATATGCTCACGATATTCTTACTCGAGTTGGGCTGCTTAGTTCCAAACCGGTTGCTACTCCACTTTCCACTTATAACGACTTAACAAGTTCGGGTAAACCTTTTAGTGATCCTACCATTTATAGGTCTTTGGTTGGTGCCTTACAATATCTTACCATTACTAGACCTGATCTTTCTTATGCGGTGAATCAAGTTAGTCAATTTCTTCATGCTCCAACCCTTGATCACTTTCAAGTTGTGAAGAGAATTTTACGGTATGTCAAGGGCACTATCTCTTATGGGTTGATTTTTCAGCATTCTCCTAAACCGAACATTCTTGATTATTCGGATGCTAATTAGGCTCACTACATTGAAACTACATATGGGTATTCCATTTTTCTTGGTGGAAATCTAATTTCGTGGAGTGCCAAGAAGCAACTTACTGTTTCCCGTTCCAGTTGCGAATCCGAGTATCATACCATGGCCAACACTGCAACTGAAATTGTTTGGGTAACCCATCTTCTTTGTGAGCTACACGTGTTACCTCCTATATTGTCCGACACTGCTTTGTGATAACTGCAATGCCATTTTTCTCGGTTAGAATCCGGTTTCTCATAAGTGAGCCAAACATATTAAGATTGACTATCATTTTTTTCGTGAGCTTGTTGCTTCTGGAAAGTTATGCACTCGTTATGTACCTACACGTTTACAACTAGCTGATATTTTCACCAAGAGTCTTCCGAAGCCATTGTTAGAGCATTTTCGGTCCAAGCTTTTGGTCCACCACCAACTTGCTTTTTTTTTTTTTTTTTTTTTTTGGGGGGGGGGGGGGGGGGGGGTTATTAGCGATAATAGTATATCCGATAGCTAGCATAGAGTTTATCTTGTTATATTTAAACTTTTTCAAATGGTATTATCTCGTATTGTAATTGTATTATAAATACTTAATAAAATCCTCTTCACAACGTGTATAGAGTTTTTTAAAGCTTAAATGGTCCCTATGGTTTGGGGTAATTTGTTTGTTTGGTCCCTAACTTATTTTTTTAACTCGGAAGGTCCCTATTATTTATTTTTGTTACGCGTTTTGTCTCTACTGTTTCTTTTTGTTATGCGTTTGGTCCCTGTCTTACCTAAAAAGACTATTATTTAAATATGAAAAAAATGATGGGGTAGGTAAGATAAGGTGAGGGAGGTGGGGTTGGTGGTATGTTTATCTAAATAAATCAAAAAATTAAGGGCGTCTTTTTAGGTAAGACAGAGACCAAACATGTAACAAAAACAAATATTAGGGACTTTCCGAGTTAAAAAAATAAGTTAGAGACCAAACACGCAAATTAACCTAAACCATAGGGACTATTCGTAAAATTTACTCTTTTCTAAAATAGAAATATATAAATGTCATTTCAACGACTAATAAATAGAAGAAACAACAACAAAAAATGAGACAATCTATTTATTTTTTAACGAACATATCAAATGACAAACTCTTTACATAAATTTGATCAGCGGATGAAAACTCTCATCTAACAAACAGAAATACACGTTTATTTTTCTTCAAGTTCGATCCACTTGCATTGCGTGTTTTTTGGAACACTTTTATAACGTATTTATTATGATATTATAATTCATTTTTTTTTCTATTGAGTTATTGTTTCATTCTTTTTTATCATATATGATGTAGGTGGTAACCAAAATCTGTTGAGTATGCTCATTTGAGTGAAGTATATAACTTTGTTTCGTTTGATGGTAA